ACACCCACTTTTTAATATCACTGTTATTTATATTTCATTATTTTAATTACAAAGTATTTCTATTACAATCCCCCAAACATTACAATACAGAACATTACCGTAGAATTAATAAAGGAATATAATTGAAATCCTACCTAACAACAAAATTATTACCCAGAGTTAACTTTCGGGAAACACTTTTCCCATCCTCAGTGGGTCTCTAGCAAGGAGGAGAAAACTGAAACATTAACACAAGTTGAACAAAAGAAATACAGTGAATTTAGTAGAAAAAAATCACAAATAAATATAATTCAAAATACTTACTGCCCCAGCAACGTGGATCACTCATAAATGATCACAACATGGTAACAAAATATGAAAACTGCAAAACATGCTGGTTACAGCTAGGTGGCAGCCATCTTTTGTAATGGAAGAAGAGAAAGCCAACAAATAGTGGGAAAGGGGGGAACAGAAAAGTAGAAAGGGTAGTCATAAACAGATTTAAAATTTACTGCTTTTCATACAGGAATATAAAACAGGACAGAAAATTAGGAATTTGGAAGATTCTCGAATTTTGAATTATATAAAGAACAAATTTTAAACAAGTTGACTAGATAAAGAGATTGCAAAAAGGAGAAAAAATATCAGGTCAAAAGAATATCAGGTCAAAAGAATGATTAGGGGCTAGTTAGTAAAATATTTAAAATGGGACTACTTTTAATTAAGGAATGTTCCACATTAGAAGCTTTGTATTCCAAAAAATCGCGAAAACTTACGCCACAATTTTCATAATAAATAAGAAGTTGCAATTTGAATCAGGTTCTTTTATAACCAAAATTGCAATTTGAAATTCGCAATAAAGTGTATTGATCATATAATCTCCTGTGCAAATTTCACTGCTGTAGCTTTAATGCTTTAGGAAATAGAGCCTATTGAAATTGACTATTATTTTCGAATTTTCAAAACTCAAAAAAACAAACACGTATTTAAAAAAATACTCATAGAGGGCACATTTATCATTTGAATATGACAAATGATGACTTTTTTTAACTACATAGCATATTGAACGAAGATATTGCCAGCTTGGGGAATTTTGCCACCCAAAAGTTTTTGGGGGGGGCGGGTGGAATGGGTAAAACAAATGGACGGGGAATGCTTGGGGAAATTATTTTCATCCGGACTTGAAATATAAATATTATTTTGTTTAATGTTATTAATAAAAAAGAAACAATAGACATGATTCTCTTTCATTTCTATGTTTAAAAAAGCGAAAGATAATTGACAGGCGTAGAGAAAGCAAACTATAAGGAAAAGAAAGTAGTATAGGGTTTCGAGCAATTCAAAGGACGACGATTGGTTTATTTGAAATATTTGAATTATAAGGTACAGCCAATGGAATAGTCAAGGAGAACTGTCGTTGGTCCATAATTTGGATATTTTTTTCCGTTTCGGTGTTAGGAAATTTTTTTCATCGGATAGGTTATTTTGTGTAATTCCGTAGTGTGATGGGATACAGCTAGCAACACATCTGGGAACCCTGCATGCTGGAAACGAATCTGGAGATTAGAATTGCTCAAAGAACGAGGATTGGTTGATTTGAATTATTTGAATTTAAGGGAACGGCCAAAAGAATCGGTCAGGGCAGTTCATGTCGTTGGTCCATAATTTGCCGAATATTTTTCGTTTCCAAGTTGGGGTTTTGTTTTTCTGGAGATGTTATTTGGGCTTAATCGCTTCGTGGTCAGAATAGTTCTGTTTCAGATGGATCAATTTGCTTGGGGTTCATTGCGAGAATTCTTCCTTTATGTAATTTCATTTGCTACTATCACGATCAAGTAACGGATGTGTTCACCAGTTGGAGGAAACACATTCAGCTCATTTAATCTTGTGTTACAACTTACAACTTTAACAATGATGTGAAATAAACTAACCTGCTGGATATGATTACTAAAATTTTCTCCACGGTACGTGGTGAATGTGATAGATCACCAATTGACTATCAAAGGTGTCATTTTATGGTAATACTTTACCGAGATAATAATTTCAGCTAATTCGCTGTATTGGTTTTACTTTGATTATAGTATAATTCAAAATTTTAATATGCTCTGGGATTTTCCTGCTTTAATTACCATGCGCTATCTGAACTTCGAATATTCATTGTAACTTTGTATACGTGCTCTCATATTTTTTAAAGTGAAATTTTCTGATTTATTTCCATTGCTTGGTTTATTATCCCCGCCACAGTTAATTTCATGGTTGCTGCAAGAAGGTAAAATGTATAAAGAATCTACTAAAAAAATTCTCTCAATTTGCCACAGTGTAATGTCTACAATTGAGGAAGACAATAAAATAAGCGTTTTGTCTATACTTTTATTAACTTCAAAATACAAATAACACATAGAAGAGCCACAAAACAAAGAATTATACACAATGTTTTTCTGCTCATGCGGTTAAAATCAAGAAACATGTTTTGGCAAACCAAGACATGTTTTATTTCTGATTATTTTGTTTACTGCATCGATCCATCACAGTCTCATATATATTTATGGATTTGTCTCCTGAGACAGACATAATTTTGTTGCCTTCTGGATTGAATGTGATGCCCCAAACCTAAAATATGCAAGAAATTGTGAATTAAGGACAATCTATCATTACATAAATTAATCGTGGGTATGTGAAAGCAGTTGTAAGCTAGTTGTAATTAATACATGAGAAATTGATGATTATATAAAAGATACCTTCAAAAGAATCATGATTACTCCATTATAATTTATTATGAATATAAAGAAACAGTTAACAGAAACAGAGTATGTTTATTTATTGTCAATATGTACGATAATGTGTGTATGCGAGTATGTCCGAACACAAAGAAATTCACTGAAATTAAAATAATTAGTTGCCCACGTTTCAATTCATATATTACACATCTTAGGTGGAGCTTAGAAAACTGGTTCATTCAATTTCAAATGACCAAATATACAAAATGATACAATTTCCGCTCAAATACAATTGAGAAATAGTTAATATAATGTTCTGTTAAATTATATGGGAGCCGATCATTCGTTAACAAAGAACAGTCAACTAACACCCGAAAAAACTGAAACAGCCAAGCGTATTAAAATAAAGAGATCTGGGACCAATCGCAATACGGCCATTAACAAGTGTCCGCATGCGAACCATTCAACGAGACATTATCGATATGGGGTTTTGGAGCTAAAGGCTCACTCGTGTGCACTTTATGACTGCACGACACAAAGCTATATGCCTCGCCCGGACTCAACACTTACATTTGTCTGTTGATGACTGGAAACACCTTGCCTGCTCTGACGAGTCTCGTCTCGCATTGTTTCGAGCGGATGGACGTGTACGAGTATGGCGTCAATCTCTTGAATCCATGGACCCAGCATATTAATAGGGTTGAAGTTCAAGTTGGTGGAGGCTCTGTGATGGTATGGGGCGTGTGAGTTGGAGTGATATAGGACCCCTGATACGTCTAGACACGATTCGCAGGTGGCGCATACGCAAGTATCCTCTCTGATCACCTACACGATCACGTCCATTATACATTCCGACGGACGTGATTCACGTGACGGAATGTATAATGGACGTGATTCACGTCCATTATACATTCCGACGGACTTGGGCAATTCCAGCAGGACAATACGACAGCTCCAAAATTACTACAGGGTGGCTCCAGGAGCACTCTTCTGAATTTAGGCACTTTCACTGGCCACCAAAGTCCCCAGATATGAGCATTATTGAGAATATCTGGGATGCCTTGCAACGTACTGTTCAGAAGAGATCTCCATTCACTCCTACTCTTAAAAGTGCTTGGACAGCTCTGCAGAATTCATGGTGTCAATTACATCCAGCGCTACTTCAGAATTAGTCGCGTCCATGCCACGTTGAGGCACTTCTGCGTGATCGCTGGGGCCCTACACAATAATAGGCCACCAGTTTCCTTGGTTCTTCTGTGTATATATGTAAGAATAAACAATACATTTTTACGGGAAATTACATGAAAATACACCCAGCCTACACTGAACCTCCTTAACGAACCCATCTGCTTGACCCATATCCACTTCTCCTTCCCTCCTTTCCTCCTTCCCGTCCCCCACCACCCAGAGCTCATGCTACATTCACTGGAATTTAGATGAGACTAGAGTCAGAGCATAAGAGGCTTAATTGAGAATTCTCTGGAGAACAAGGGCGGCTAACTACCGTATACCTTTCATACATACTATCCCGGTCATATTTACCCTCATGGCTGATTGCGCTCGGGCCACTTGTGTCGCAACGCCTCAATTATAAACCAAAATCGTTATAACCGCGGAGAATGAAGGGGACACTCGATTTAACATTGTAATGGAAGTCTCAAATTAAATTGTGGCGTTCGTGGCTCAGAGGGATATCACACGCCTTCCACCTGGGAGGTCGGGGTTCGATTCTCGTTAATTCCCGTACAAGCTCACATAAAATTTGTTCCAACAAAACGAGTTTGCCTACTTCACTATTTCCAACCCCTGTGAAGCGTTTTAAACCCTAAATCTATCCTAAGTCCTTTCCAATATTGGCCGCTGGGTAGTGATGCAGGGGCGCGTGGTGGAAGCGGCGGGGACGAACGCGGGGATGTTACCTAGCGGTCCTCTTGACAACTGACGCCAAGACGTGACATAGGGGCAGATACTGTTAATGGAGAATTATTCCTGAGCGGAGGATTACTCACAAGCGCAAAGCTCTAAGCCCCCCCCCAAGTGCCTTTGGGACGCGTTGCGTCAATTTAGACGCAACAAAATAATAAAAGAAGTGCAACGAAAAATGCGAGGTGAACATCAGTGATGGGTACGTGATGAAAGGAGCGAGATAAAGTTGTAGTGATAAGGGTGGCGGCGAGCCGCGTTGCTATTGCTCTGACTGACATCACACAAGGTCACGTTCTGCATTCCTCTACAGAATGTCACGTAATGTCTTCGGGATTTACCTAAAAAAATTCTGCATATGCAAAATATTTTTATCAGAAACTAAATAATTGAAAATATTTCATCGTACAATTCTGGGTAGGCAATGCAGTGCAGTGCAATGCAGTACAGTGCTCTAAACATTTCTTTTCGTCTTTCACAATTTCCAATTACTTCACCTACATATTGCCACTTTGCTGCATCTTCATCGCCGTACGGTTGGCAAATTGACTTATGAAAACTTACAATTATGTTGTAAACAGACAAATGAAGTACGCCATGCAGCATAGATTTCCCATAGATAGACTTCAGTATATTAGTTAAATCTAGTGGTCTGAACTTGGCTGTGGGTGCAGAGACTTGGCATTTCTTCTTAAGTGTAATACAAACTCACGAACGTACCCATGTCTTTTCCAGTACATAACAAGGAAAAAATACCGAAACTAGTTAGACTCACCGTATTTTCATGCTCAGTGAATGTGTGAAGACACTCCTCAGATCTGATATCCCAAACACGAACTGTACCATCATCGCTGCTTGATACAAAGTGCCTATTATCAGGTGAGAATGCAATACCTATTATACGTGCAGCAGATCCAAAACGAAGACCCACAATATTGGCCTTCTTGCTAGGAATTAAAAAAATCATTAAATACATTTATTGTTAATGCCAAAACAAATTTTTATCTTAATACCCAACAATTCTTAAACTTCTTACATTTTATGAATTGTAATGTGTCCCATATTTGATCCACTCAACAAAAACTTGGAGTCGGTTGAGAAACAAAATGAAAGAATACTGAAACCAATACCTAATGCACAATAACATTTACTACATGCGCACTAGGAAATAGATTACAAAATAAAATCACTGAACGTGCGTTATGTACTAACCTCTTTTTATATACACTTGTCGCCCAGACAATGTATCAAAAACCTCAAGTAGACCAGTTAGAGTTCCACAGGCAATATATTTTCCATCAGAACTCTGGAAGAGTTTGGACAATGAATTGAATTACAATAATTTCTATTTTGACTTGAATTTTAGTACACTTACCATAATGGCACAGCTAATAACAGGCTCTTTTGGATAAATCTTTAATATTTCTTCATTTTCTTCAGATTCTACGTTAGATATGTACACTCTTCCAGAGAATCTTCCAAACACGAATAAGTTGTCATCTGGAGTAAATGATGCGCCAAACAAATCATTTATTTCAAGATCAATGCTTTTTATTTTTTGGGCCATTTCAATATCCCACACAAAAACATGGTGATCCACAGATGTCGTTGCGCATTCTGTAAAGAAATATTTTCAAAACGCCCTTTTAAAATAGTTACAAATTTAACTTTTGGATATTGAGTTCTTAACTTGCAAAACGTATCGATCTGCAACAATTTTATATTCTGATCAATATACTACTGCTCACTGTAAGATCAATATATGCGAAGGTTTTACGACCATTTATATAAACAGACATTATTAAAAACAATTATATAATCAAAAATATACCACCCAAACAGTCCATAAATCATTAAATTTAAAAAAGCTTCCCATTTTTTGGGTAATTGGAACCCACCAACGTAGCCTATCCATTTCTCTTCAAACACAAAACATTGAACAAATGTCAATACTAGTCGGAACGTAACGAATCTTTAGAAACGGGAGAGCGCTGCGGTTACCTTCTATTTGAACTGTTTGTATTACAAGTTACATCACTACAGATCCATGGAACTCTGTCTAGCTTCCTCGAAATGTAATAGGCGTGTGTGAAGTATCGCAAGCATCAGTTTTGTTTTTTTGAACAGGTCGCGTTTACCTTGACACAACGCGTCTCTAAACCCCTACAGGGGCATTCAGCGATTTGCGTTTCGAGAAATCCTCCGTTAATATGACGCATTTTCGGAGTAATCCTCCGTTAACAAATTTGTTTAAATTTGTCTGTTCAGTGTCGTCGCTGTCAGTTGTCAAGAGGACCGCAAGTTAGCACCTTCGTGTATGCGCCTACTACCACGCGCTCCTGCGTCACTACACAATGGCCCGAATTGGGACTTAGGATAGGGGTTTAAAATGATTCATACGCGTTAGACTCGCTTCTGGAAAGCACGCAAACTCGATTTGTTGGAACAAACTTCGCATGAGATTCGTCGATGGGAATCGAACCCAGATGTCCTTGGTGAAAGGAGAGCGACTGCTCTGCGAGATACCAGGGAGCCGTATTTGTTTTGTTGCTTCTACATAAAAGTGACCACCACACGCGTCAATAATTCATTATAGAATTGCAATATTTAGTTTAACTCATCAGCAGTGATATACACATGGGAATACTGTTTATGTAATAATTGGAACTACATGGCTTTTCTTCAGATTAACTTTCATGTTTACTCCCCCTACTGTAATTTGTACCCCCTCCCCCAACAAACAACAAAAACATTTACAGCCTTTTTGTTACCTCTTAATGAAGATTTATAATTGCTAACGCACTTGGAGGTGGTAAATTGAAGAAAGAGAGAACTTAGACTTTCGTGTACATACGATGCCCAAACAGCACTTCCCTTACAATAACTACAATATAGATACACCTGACCAAATAAAGAAGTAAAAAATAATTCTGAATATATGAAGAAGATTAAAGATTGCGTACTATAAGCTTCATTCCAATATTATGTGATAAAAATCGTAGAATGATAAAATACCCAAATGCGAAAACTACAAGAAACTATTCCTATTTGCTTGTAACATGCGTTACAATAAATAACCGACGATAGAGTTGCTAAGACGATAGAGTTGTTTTAAATTCGTCGCATAGACCAACAATGTACAGAGTTATTTTTAAAATTAGGTTCATTGTGTATTTGTAAGCAGGAATTGTTGGTTGATTGCTAAATATTTTTTACCTAAATCCCTTTAATCATAATAACTAGCAACTGAAGTCGTGTAATAAAAATCACATTTATATTGAAGGTTTTCCCTTTTATAATCATACTTTACGTAACTTTGTTGTCTCCATAACCCTTGTCTCCAATATTCAAACAAAAATAAAATGTATATTAAACGAAATATCTCAATGAACTTCTCTTTTACAGTATATTTAGTAAGTGAAAGGAGGAAATTCTTATTTTAGAATAATTAACATGGTTTTCTTCATGAGAAAGCAACAAACAAAATTTAAAGTCACGTTGTCTAACTAAGTATGAGTCACTTTTACATACTTGTTCCATCTGAATTTATAGATACTGAAATAACGCCCCAAGGATGAGGTAATGTATGCTTCAATGTCAATTTATTATTTTCAAAAGTCCAAATTTTTGCACAATCCACAGAGCCTGTGATGATATTATATTCAATCTCTTCAGAGATGAGAGACCTGAAAAAAAACTTCTTCGTATAGTCTAATATCTTGTCATCAACAACGTATCTCATGTTCACAAGTTTTCTATCTTACCAATAGACTACGTTATCTTCGATGACCCGGAGTTCCCAATCATCACAGTTAATTTGTTTCTTGTGACATCCCCATGCACAGCACTGTATACTATCAATATGGGCGAAGTCTTCTTTATACAACAGGGAATGCTGTAAGTAGAATTTCCATGTTAATAGAAAAAAAATTGTGGTACAAGAACCTCACAACAAAAGTGTGCAGAAAATCACACAACTGGATTACCAGCGAAGCGGCCATTTTTGTCAGTTTTGATTTGATTTATTTTGTCAACGAACAGTAATCTGTATGTGACGTATGGGGAGAAGAACACTCAGCTCACAGTTTTGTGAGCTCTGGGATTTCTTGCCCATCATTTAACTCTAAATAGTTCAATGATGAATAAAAATACCAACACAGCAAAGTTAGTAACATCTGCAAATAGACAATTTCGCACCTGAGTTATAGTTATAGTTATCTACAAGGGGGTAATTGACCAAAACTAAAGTACATTACTTCTTCCAGTTATCCATACACAGTATTTGCGTACAGTGTTCTAATGATGGCAGGGAACCGGGGGGAAATGGTGCGCTCGATAATTACGTTTAAATGGTATTTATTATTTAAATGTTTACGACTCATTAAAATTAAGAAAAAATACAAAACAGAACAGATTTTTGCATAGCTCAAAGCAATATCGGACTGTTTATCGTAACCAGTATTGTTATTCAACTTCTATTCTTCTAATACATAACAAATTTAGAGAAGACAGTTTTAACATCTCATTACAATAATACAATCTTTTAACAATTTTAGTTCGGCGCGAACCAATAATTACTGTTAGCAAATACATACAAAGATACAAGGGAAGGGTCACGTGGGAGCATTTGGACTTCAGGTTTCATTATTTCAGCACGTAAGCTTCCGCGGCTAGAATCCATAAATTCTCGGCTATCCGACGTCGGACTCCCAGCCAACGACGCGGCGTCTCCCGGATAGCCGAGAATTTATTTCAGCACAGTTTTGTTTGAAAATGTTGCAAATCTTCGTGATTTTCAGTACCATTTCAATAATGTGCTAAATTCTTTATTCATCTCATAATTCCGCGCTATCTGACAATTTTCGGATATTATTTTCATCTTGCGGGCTTCTCTGAGTTGCATAGCAGCGTAATGACTTCGTAGGTTGAACTTTTCAACACACTGCAGTTCTTTGGATCACTAAATAGACACGATTGTTACGGTATTTACAAAAAGAAACATTTCTGCCCAAACCGAAAGAAAATTAATGGCCTTTCATGTTGCCTGAAACACAGGGAAAGGCTCACTGCCAAGGTTGTCGATCCCTCCCTCCCCCTGTCCTCGCGAGCTCCTGCCCACGCAAGGGAACGCTGCTCTGCAGTCATTGCTCCTCCAGCTGGCACGCGCCGCTGTGACGCCCCAATCTTCCCCCTTCCCGTAACACACTTGGCAGCGTGGGAGCCAACGTCCCCACAGGTGAAAGTTGCATGAGCTTCTAAGAGCAAATATTGTCGGTTTCATTTTAAATCACGTGTAAGAAAGTATACTTTTATACTCGACCTATTATTGATAAATCGATCAATAATTTTTCATTAATTCAGGTATCCATGCTTGTCAACTCCAGTAGATGCAATTTTCGTAAGTAATATATCGTGGGAAATAACATCGAATGCTTTCAAAAAATCTACAACAATTACGACTGTTCTCTTTCTCGAATCTAATTCTTTAGCAATATCTTGACACGCTGAAATAATTCGGATTTCCCAAGAGAAGAATTTTCGAAATCCAAGTTGCCTTGCGTCAACCTTATCAACCTTATGTTATACCCTTCCCGTCGCAAGAACTCAGTTATGCGATGATCCATCTCTCTCTCTCGCTCTCTCTCGCTCTCTCTCTCGCTCCTCTCTCTCGCTCTCTCTCTCGCTCTCGCTCTCTCTCTCGCTCTCTCTCTCACGCTCTCTCTCACGCTCTCTCACGTTCTCTCTCACGCTCTCTCTCTCACGCTCTCTCACTCTCTCTTTCTCTCACGCTCTCTCTCTCACGCTCTCTCTCTCGCCCTCTCTATTTCTCTCTATCTCGCTCTCTCTATCTCGCTCTCCCTCGCTCTCTCTCGCTCTGGTGGATGTAAGATGATTTTCTTCCATCAACATTTGGTTGATGTAATTCGACTTTCACGGTTACAATATCGAGCATGAGGTCGGTGAAGTTTGTTATAATATCTCATCGAAACGTATTGGAAGAACCGACGATACTTTTAAGGAGCCGATGCAGAAGCGCCGTGACACTTTGAGAAGCAGCTCGACGAATACATTCTTTTAGGACAAGTTCGGATCTCCGTTTTTAGTAGTTTTTGCGTGCCCTCACAAAAGGCGTGTTCTGAAAGGCAGTGGTCGCACACAAAACGGCTCGGCTGTACCAACCGCATACCATGCCAGTTGGCTCCATGAATCCTGGCATCTTAAAGCAGCGAAATTCACGTTTTGCATAGCTGGATACATTTCTGAATATCATGTTATATGTGTGTCTTCACTACTGAACGGCTCTTAATTAGTAAATGATTCACAGATGGTCTTGGCCTAGTCTGTTACAGTATAAGCATTCCGGACGTCGCAGGAAACAGGCGGATCAAATTAATTTTAAAAGTTTTACGAAAATAACAAATTAATTACCATGAACTCAAAAATATTGTTGAAAATAAGAGAGCGTGCTTTACTGCGTGCTTACTTTAAGCAATGTCAAACTTTTAAAAAACTCAAATAATAATTATCTGATAGTAATGACAAGTACCAAATTATACAATGTAAATTAGACTTCTTTCCAAAATGCGATTTTTTTGACCTTCGAAAGCTTCGCTTACCCTTATTTCTACGATTTATATGGTATTACATTGTTATTTTAGAACAGTATTCAATATTACTAACATCTGGTTTTTCAACTACCTGGTTTAACAACTAACCTCTGGTTTTTCCTCTAGTTCTTCGAATTTTACATTTTGTGCAACAGTTATCCATATGTCCTCTTCCTGGCCGTTCTTATGACTACAGACCCTGGAATTTTGTTGTTCACCTCCAAGAAGGGCTGAAAATGTAACTTCGTGATTAATGAATATTGAGAGAAATGTTAAAAACTTAATACTGAAAATAGTATTTTCTATTTGGAGGATAATTGAACACAAACGTTGACTGGATAGCTATTTCATTTAAAAACATTCTAATATTGTTATGAAATGCAGTAATGTCCCAAATCTTTTGTGATTAAGAGAAATACAAATGTTAAAAATTTCGTGAAACGGAATTCTATGCCTTACAACCTGTTATGAAATGTACAAGTTGATAAGAAAAAGGATCAGCTGGCATTAATGAAGTGAATAGAATGATAGGTTCGCTCTATTCCATAGTGACAAGGCTAAACTTTTACAATCTTGCTTCCATGTGTGCGGTAACTCGCAAGTTAATAAAATCAAGTTTTGGAATAAAATATAGTTAAAAAATAGTTTTGATCAAAGAATTAGCCCAAGTAACGAAACCTCTTGTTAATTTCTGTCGTAAATTTCTTATTCAAAGGTCATTCTTGCTTAATTAGAAATCTCATAAAAACATAAAATACAACACCACTTATTGACCTTTACAACTTATTAATAGAATATATCGTATTTGATAGGAGCCACATGAGAGGTTTCCGTTCGGTACTTTCAGAAAAATATTACAATAAATAAATATTTAATACCATTATAGGCTATAGAAAGTGTAGAATGATTATACTTCAACAGTACATTATTAACATCAATATCAAGCGTTTTCCTTCCTTCTGTAATTTTTTTGATATGTTTTTCACATAGGTTGTCAAACATCAACGACGATATACGAGTTCCCAACACTCCAAAAGCATTGCATACTCGTTCTGAAGACCCGATTTACCGCACGCGCCACATCGCTCAGCACATTCAGAGGTCATCACGTGTATTGCTGATCACTGGTTGCGAAAAGAAGAAAATAGACGACAGAAGAAAGAGAAAAGTCGGAAAAAAGGAAAAAAGAAAGAAAGAAAGAAGGAAAAAAAGAAAGAAAGAAAGAAAGAAAGAAGGAAGGAAAAAAGGAAGAAAGAAAGAAAAAAAGAAAGAAAAAAGAAAGAAAGAAGAAAAAATTTTTTTCAATATTTTCCAATGAAGAAATTGATTTTGATAATTAGTCAGCTTCCAATGTAGGCTTTGAAACATACTTCTTGATTAATAATTCTTATTAAGAGTGAGTATAGGTGATTATCAAGTCACAGTTGTGAATTTAGCCCCAAACGACAGTTGTTTTTTTCAATAATATAATTTGCTATTTTTATTTGCATTATTCACAGGATATTTACGCTTGTTAGAAATCAAGCAAAATTAATTCTTCAGAACAGTGATGTCTAAGGTATATGAATTATTTCCTTATACTCTTACATTATTCTCTGACAAACCTGGTATTATGGGGGAATGATTGAATACAGTACTCTCTTTTCTCTGCATCTCCATATGTTGACCAAGTAGTCTTTTCTTGTTCTTGAATATGTCCACACTGAAAAATAAAATTCTACTTCATAAATTAAATTTACAAAAGTTTTGTTATATCCGTTTTCTTCCAGAAAATTCTAGACACACCTTTTCTTACGAATATGTTTAAGACCTTGATAACCATGGTCAGCTTTCACGTCTATATCTCCAAATTTTTGGATGAGGTTTTGAACATCGCGCATTTTTTCTATGCTATTATTCTCAATGTCACCTGCAATTAAAACAAAAGTTATTGTGTAGCTTATTCGTCTGCGCAGTAGTGATAAAGGAAAATGAGTAAAACATGTGCCTGGCATTCTGGGTAGATAAAGTAGTGTAGCATTCTCTTTATTCTGCTTCTCTGAATGTTGGTTAAATTTTTGTTGTTTATCCTCCGTCTTTTCGTTTCCGTTTTTCATGAGATACCTGAAACAAAATTCTACTAAAATTTTGATTCAGAGAAGTTTTGTGATGCACATTCAATTAAAAAAACAGCATATCTTACTCTTCAATTTTAAGAACTCTCTCAGCTTTTTGAGTGTCATGTCCAACTTTCACTTCTAACTCTCCTTCATTAATTCGTTTGAAGTTTTGAACATCAAGCATAATTTCATTTGAGATCCTTTGAAATTGGTCTGCAATTTAAACAATAGTTATGAATATCATTTGCTATATCTTCCACTGCTTTCATCGGCAATCTGTTTTTTTTTCATGGAACTAAATGAGTACAAACATTAAACTACCTTACAAATTGTGTGTAGTGAATTCTATAAATGCAAACATTATATTGATCATTTTATTTAATGATATATTTTGAAAATCTGTTGATTATTAAACTTGTAAAAAAAGGAATTTTGAATTATTAATATGTTATCTTCACACCAAATTATGACCGTAAAACCATTACCAGTAATAACTATTGTTATCAGTGTTCCTGTCAGCAGTAGTATGAGTGCATGTCTTTTTATTATGCATTTCACATTTGCTAGTACCTTTTAATTTTCCTCTGCTAAATCTGTGGATAATTCTTTCCAAAGGGGTTTTATTTAATATTTTGTTTTTTGAACCTGCTGATCGTAGTACCAGGTAATCTTCTTTTAACAACTTTAAAAACTGATTTCGGCATTTCTTTGCGGTGAACCATGTAAATGGGCGGTTTGAATCTTGGTGTAATTGCATAATATAGCTAGCTAGTTGCCTGAAAACCAAAACCTTTTATAGCAGAGTTTACTCAGAAATGGATTTTCTGCGTATGCAAAACCTACCAATTTTCTCCTCCTAACTTCATACACGCTGATAAATATAAAACCTCATTGTCAGACCAAGTATCCACAGGACTTGTGGTTTTTGCCGGCTTCCACTCTTCAAACATAAATATTCAATACAATAATGAAAAATGTAGTAGAACTACTTTTCAACATGTTCAAACATTAGTAGTAGAAAAACATTAGTAATGTGGGATGGATACATACCACCTGGAATCATTGTAACAATACTAGCTATTATCTTAATTTCAGGAGCCTGAATTGAAAACTCATTTACTTTGGAGGAAAACTGTGAGGATGAACTTGAAATCAGACAGGCTCTGAAACAAACAACCACTTTGTAAAATTTCAGTGTCAAAAATTCGGTAAAAAGGTTTAAATTTATTAATACATTCTTTAGAACACCTTTTTAAATTATTTTCCGTACCGTAAATATCTATTTAAGAAAAATGCAGATTTCGGAAATTTTTAGAACGTGAAATGTTTGCAATGCACGTACCTACCATTTATCACGCCTTATTACTTTCCGAAGATTAAAGATTTCGTCCAATTCTGAAATGGATTCCGAAAGCAGTTATGTTCTTCATAAGAATAGAGAATACGAGTTAGTTATTATTTTAATAAATGGAAGATATAAGGAGGGTATGAAGTTTCCAATCAATTGTAGATAATCAAAAAAGAAAAGGAAGTTCTCACTACATTAGAAATTTTCCGTTAGTATAGGCATAGCATTACGGTTCATGGTTTAATGTGATAACTTCAAGAGGAAATTTAAGAAATTTATAATAAAACTTTTCTGAAAAGTAAATTATAAAACCCGGCACGGAAGCACGAAAAAAAGAGAAACTGAATAAAATCAATAGCTATAAGGTTGAAAATCTAAATGAGATCCAAAAATCTTAATCAAAAACTGGAAGCAGAGGGAAAGAGACTCAAACAAAGGATTACAGCTATGGGCACGAGAATCAGGAGATATAACGAAGCATCAAAACGAAAACATCAGGAATCAATTTTTCTGCCGATCAGAAGATATTTTACAGACAACTGGAGACTTGTGATGGACGAGAGCGGTATTGCCAACACCCAAATGAAGATGGTTAATTTCTCGACTTAATTCTGGTCTGTACCTCACTATCACTACGAGCAGGCATATTGGCTTCATAGAGAAATAGAAGCTTGCCTAGATATAGATGAAATGTCATCAGTTACTACTGAAGCTGATATTACAGCAATCATCAAAAAGACGCAAAACTGTAAATTACCTAGTCCAGATGGCATTCATAATGTTTGGTAGAAATACTTTACTGCTTTCCACCTTCATCTGGCTAGGTTGTTTAACACTGCTTTGCAAGATACAGCCACATTCCCTCAATACCTATTAACAGGTAATACGTTTATGTGTGCTAAACCAGGTGACAATCTTCAACCACGAAATTATTGGCCAATCATATGTCTATCAACATGATATGAAATGTTAAATGTTGTTATATCTTCGAAAATCAATGATCTAATAAATCAAAACCTTTTACCTCCTGAGCAAATTGGCTGTCGAAAAGGAACTACAGTTTACGGGAACGCGTCTTTTAAAATTTCTAGATTTGGGAAGATTCCTTCCTTGATTTTTGCTGGGCTGATTTTTTGAACATTTTCACAGAGATTCAGAATTGCTACTCAGTTTACCGTATCCGTAGTTTTTAACAATTTAGATTTAGATTTATTCAATCAAAAATCAGTAAAAAATGTATGTGACGTAGGGGGGAAAATATTATCTGCACACGTTTTCTTGAGTTCCAGAATCCTGTCATTTTAACTATAAATAGTTGAAAGGTGAGTAAAGTTTAACATAAATAAATAAATTAAATAAATAAATAAATTGTAAAAATCGTAAGATTAGCAATATTTGAAAAATAGTCAAAAATTTAATCTTTATAGGGAGATGATGGATAAATATGTTGGGAACAACGAGAGGAACGTCCCGTCTCTTATCTGATTTGAGACACGCTGGACAAAACCAGAGCTCATTTTATCCCTGCAGTTCCTAAAGGAACGGCTTTGCCGTAGGGGATTCACACATTCCTCATACAAAAACCGTCCTATGTTAGAAAGTGTTCGTGCCATAGGCACATATTTGTAATCAGGGCGCGACAATTAGTAAATCTCACACATTTTTTTTCTGATGGTTTTTCATTTCTGACTAAGTATGTCCCTATTTTGGAGGATCATTCGCACATTTGAAACATTAAAACATTTTATCACAAAAATGGTACGTGCTAGAGAAATTGAAAGTACATATTTGGAATTAAGGCATCCTGCATAGTAAATCATACAGTTTTATTTCAGGTGATTTTTCATTGCCGACCTGTGTAATTTGCACTGAAGCAGGACACGAAAAGAGAATAGAGACTCGTCTTGATAAATATTATTAATATGGCCTAGGCCACTCATAGGCATTCATGGTTCTATACTCGGCGAACTGACGGTTGATCAACTAAGACGCTGGTATTCGAACAGGGTGATGATTATGATAATGGTGAGAGTTTCATATCACTTCAACTTCTAAAATCTTTGGCGCCACGACTGGTATGGGAATTGGACATGGATGTTGCCATATTGTGTGAACAGTACCGCGAACGCGATATGTCCTTATGGACGACCGACAGCACAGGAAAGGCAGCGATACTACTGAGCTTCTAATTGTAAGTCTTCTTCTCTTCTTCGTCTTATTTCCTTCTTCCCTGCGGGGAACTTCCGTTTGAGCAGAAAATGAAACCACAAGAAGTATGATACATGTGGGCGAAAGTATCGGGCGTATAAGAGCTGGAACTCATCGCCGAACGCGAGTATCGAAGACTTCCTTGACCGACTGATAAGGGACGCCATGGGACGCAGTCCACCTCTAATGGCAGGTGACTTCAATGCCTGGGCAACTGATAATCCAGTCATTACAGAGTTTGCTAAATTATACTGTGATGTTTTGAATTTTTGCTTTATATTTTTTGAGGTGCTGAATACGAATTTCAAGTTTGCCAAAAATATTTCCGTTGAAATTTGACCAATAACAAAAAAAAAATGAAAAAAACAAACATTTTCGTTCCTTTTGCATATATCTACAAGCTATGGAATTTTGGAAATAATTACTCCTTACCAAAATATTTTACCAACATTTTCCTAGAATTTGGTTCCTTACAACTTTTTTCGACACGCGCAACGTTTAGACGTAATTGGTAGTTGAACTTTGACTTAATTTTAGCGCCACTTACCAGTAGCTCGGTTATGTTTATAAATGGCTAATTACAAACCTTCATGTTTGTGTTGAGTACAACTATACATTGCATATATTTTTCTACCTTACTTAATGATATTTTTTTATCATACAGTACTTTTTGTCAATAGTTTTGATCTCGAATATTGTAAGTGGGTAAAACAAAATATCGTTATTAATAATACGAATAAAATGGCTTGACTGTTCAAAAGAGCCGATGAGGATGGGCATACAAAGCTCCTTTCAAAAAATGTATTTACAGTGACTTAAACACGCTCTTAAGTGGTCCAAACTTTATAATCTTTGACGTCTGTTGTATTGTGTAAAATATTGTACGACCAACGAATTGATCGTATGATAGCGGCAAACAAACAACATATTGTTATTGGGATGTGGATAAAAATGTCTACTCGTAGATGTTGCTCTGCCATTTATTCATAGTATCGTAACAAGGGAAGAAGGGAAAAATCTAAAATATACGAGTTTGAAAATCGAGATCAGCCAAATGTGTGGCTTAAAAACACAAGGCCGACGCGATAGTTATCAGAAATTGATTGTTCACTGGTGACATCTAATGAAAACCCGGATGCTACGTATCAAGCATTTGTTTTTAGTGCTTGAGTGATCGGGATCAGGAACCTGTTAGAATTACTGATAACCAGAGTGCTGACACTTGATTCAGTTGCAGAGATTATGGGAAAGCTCGCAACAGGGAAGATAGAGGCATTGACTTATCCCAAATATAGAATAGGAAGGGCGACGATACGATAAAGTGGTCATCCATTTAACGCAGTTGCTGCCTGGATACCGCTGTTTCCGATAGTTCCTCTTCTCCCGACTGAAGACCGAGCTTGCCCTCAACGCTCCCCTGTAGCGGAGGATCCAGAGTACGTTTTCTTTGTCTACCCCTGGTTTGAGGAAGAGAGGACCCAACACTGTCAGCAGCTCGGACAGCAACTTCAGCCCGAGAACATCGTAAGGGGAATGCAGTCTCCAGTTACATTTACTACACATATGGAAGTAAAATATAAAAGCAGAGGTTCCCGGAAATATCAATATCTGCTTTGCGCTTATCCTGGTTTGATACCATTGAACTCATTCATACCATTGAACACATTCATGCTCCAAGTTTTATTATTTAACAATCTCATAGGAAATAATCCCCCACAAAAAATACGTAGCATTTATTATACAACCTATCTGTCGAAAAGAATAAATTTAAAAAGTAATGGTATTTATAGTATACTTGACACCCGGCAATGTTGATTTAAAACATTACCCAGTTCTGAACCACTGGTCTTATTCCCTGCCTTTATAAAATTTCCTGTCGTGCTATTGCCAAGCAAATAACCACAGTTGTAACACAATACCTACCCGTCCTCGTGAGTGATGAGTCACTCGCCGTTAGAGCACCATGCAATACTTCGACCCCACCCCCCAGTTACCACATTACAAAAAAAAGCTTGATTTCTTTGTCGTGTTTTATCACTCACCGTGTTTTGCACTTCTCCCAATAGTACGTCACGCAGTTTTTTAGTCACATTGTTTTATAGAGTTAAAAGATACAAGTGAAGTTTATATAAAGAAATAAATCACTTCTCATTATCTCGCAGTGTCTAGTATAAATTTTTGACCGTTTCTCCAGCCGAATCACATGAAACTAGGTGTAGTTTCTCATATATAATCTCAAAAACTGCACATTGACAAAACCTTGCCAGTTGCGTTTTTACAAAACGAAAATTTCTTTGTTCACTGGAATCCGTTCCGATCTCGACAGCAACTGGATACCCTGGAGAATGATGTCGCGGTAAAAGTTATTCTGATCCTTGTTAATGATCGCGTCAGATATAGCACGCTTATTATTGCCGACACGATCACCTACTACAGGGCACAAAATAGACTTATAGAGCCTTACTTACTACCATTCGCCTCGTCGCTACCAGGATGGCTGCTCTCTACCTACGATGGCCATACACTGGCCTAAACTCGCAATGCACCGGCGTGTTGTGGTCGCGACTCGCGACCGCCACCAATCGTTCGAGCATCGCAGTAGATCGACGTAGATCGCGGCATGCGCCCGACGGCGCGCGTTATTTAAATGCCCATTTTCTTTCCCGTCTTCCTTTTTTCGCTCTTCGATTCCTGATTTTCCCCACAAAATTCAGGCTCTCTTATAGATTACTATTCCTAAGCAAACGATTGATCATCAGATAGTAGTAATTATCAAAAGTAATTAGTTAAATAAACATTCTGGAAGATTCTTTTATATAATACTAAAATTAGAATACAATCATAGCTCTGTTTCTCTAAGAATATATTTTGACCCGGGCCCCAGATTTTTTATTAACCAAGAAATTAAAGCCAGTAGAGGCAAATTTACCTAGAGGAATAAAATATCACGACTATCCTTCTGTCATCAAATTTTCAAGAGATTATTTAATTTTAATAAAGAATGAAATTTAATGAAATTTTTATGAAAAATTTTAAATTTTTAAATTTTTATGAAATATAACTTGATATAACATATCAATATTTTATCTTTTATATACCCAGAATTATTTGTTTTAAGGTTGCTTTTCAATAATTTTTGACGTAAATTAAATAATAAATAAATAAATAAATAAATAAATAAATAAATAAATAAATAAATAAATAAATAAATAAATAACAGAAAGTTATGTAATCGTGCGTCAGAACAGGCCGAAATTTTGGGAGAAAAAACTTATTGGCGGGCACTGGTAACAAGGAAGTAAATAAATCCTGTTACTAAATTTGGAAACAATAATCTAACTCGTGGAGATGCCTGAATCCATGTTTATTGATTCTTTATCCTGAAAAATCGTTTGACTGCAAAACGTCCGTCCGTCCGTCAACGCCTATGGCCTAAATCGTTCATCGAAATTGATATTCCTCAATCGATTTGCAAGAACTCGTGGTTTTGGGAGTTTCAAACGGATGTTTTGATTTTTTATGATACTTCAGATGAAGCTTCAAACGCATTTTCAAAATTTTCCCAAAAACGGCACCAAATATTTTGATTAAATTTTGTTGTTGAATTGTGCAAAGGACGTTTATGAGAATGGTTTAGATCTCATTTTTGTTGAATTCCCCGATTTATCGAAAATTGCAAAACAAAGTTTTAAAATTACAAAATTGAAGATAGAGATATTTGGCTCAGACAAAGTTTGTTGTAGAAAATTATCTCTTTAAACAAAGTCACGTACATTATTTTGTAAAAGTTATTAATTATGTCTTTTAGTTAACTCTTTAAAAATTGTCATGTTCAATTTTCTGAACAAACAAATAGTTTTTTTTCAATTTATTATTAGATATGTCAGGTTTGGGGGTACGTTACGTGAAGCCCCTCTGACATTTTCAAAATTTTCAAAAAAGGCTCCAAATTTGATTAAACTTTGTTGATTAGGGAGAAGGGCGTTTAGGAGAATGGTGCAGGTGTCATTTGTTAAAATCACTGATTTTCGAAAATTACAAAACTTAAAAAAATGTTCTTACAAGTATAATATTGACATTATAGATTTGTTCCTTAAAGAAATTATTATTAAATACAGATCTTCAAATAGGATTATTTTCAACTTTTCGAAAATATGAGTAATTTTCGTACATTTTTGGGCGAAAAAGATGTATTTTTACATTTTTCTCAGCTCATTGCAGCTACCACTCCCAATTTTTTCTTTTCATTTTCTCCATATATGTAAGAACTTTAGGAGACGGTAAAAACTTTGGTGCTAGTACCATTTTCGGGTATCGCTCGGGTTTTCGAAAATTAAAAGAAATAAAAATAAAATTTGAAGATAAAAGATTTTGGCCTCAGACAAAGTCTGTTGCACAAATTAAGATTTTTTAAAAAAGGTCGTGTTTAATTGTTTGTAAAAGTTAGTAGTTTTCGGGTAATTTCTGTTTAAAATTAATGAAACATATGGGTAAATATGGGCCACAAGAAAAAAATATTCGGAAAGAAGTAATTGATCAAAAGGATATGCAATCTAATTAATGTTATTTTAATTTCAATAAACTATTTCAATTCCAATATTAATTTGATTCCACTCTATTCTGCAATGTGTTTTCCCGCTTCTTATATCCAGTGCCTCGTGAACGTAATTTGAGATGTATTCCTGGTTATCGAAATAAACGCAGATATGCATCACAGGCGCGTCGTTTGAACTGGGTGGATTTGGATAATATCATCATTACTACTATTTAACATGAATGAAAAACTGAAAAAAAACTGAGTACCGTAAATCTGTAAATTTAACTTATATTACCACCGTATGCTGCCATGGGAAACAATGGAGCATGTATCGTTGTTAAAGGCGTCAAGATAAGATAATAATGTGTAAAATTCTTTTGAATTCTTCTCTTTTTAAACATTAACATAGAACCATTATGAGGCTTTGTTTCATTTATATATTTTTTTTATTTAACTTCAAAAGAGCCTTTGTTTTCGATTAGTAACGAGAATTTGGGAAAATTATTTTACGTGTGAAAACGTATTAACCATTTAGCATTACGTGTTCAGACAAGGACTAATGTGTAGTTCGTGTAAAAGGAACAGATTTGGAGAATATTACAATACTCCAGTATTTCCTAATTACTATTATGTATTTTTCGAAATATTTTCATTTGTTCGCAAAAGCTGTCAGTGTTACGGCGTGGTATCCCAAATGAATCTATATCCTCATTGTTACTATAAATCAACATTGGTGAGAATGTGCTTTAGCGAATGCAACCGCCGCCGCCGCTGCCAAAGATGGATCGTATTAATTATTGACTTTTCATTATTTTACTTTCTCGCGTAGTGCTTACGCAGAATATTTAAAAGCTAAAATACGCATCAGATATTGAATACACAGAATACCTCATACACTGAATTCAATGCCAGAAATATATTTTTATTTAAAATATATTTTTCATACTTTCTTTATTTACATGATAAAGTGATATGTGAAGTAAAAAAAGGCAAAAATTAAGACATAACAATTCATAACGATAAAAGTACAATAATGCGAAGAAGTATGTGCCGTTGTAGAACTAGTTTCCAAATTTTGCAGTGACTCATCTGAGCTTTTCAGCAAAAATTAACTGGGCCTCTGGCACCTTCTGTTCTTCATCCCTGATGCTCCTCATAATCGAAGAGGAATAACGAGAAGAGAAACGAGTTTTCACTCGTTTTGTACTCACTATGTACTTACAACCTCACACACGTGCTCACAAACACGAGCTCCCAACCTCCCAACATGAGCTCTTCACAAACGTAAACCACGGAAGGAAACAAAGGATGATGTGTGCGAGGCGCGTAACGTATGTAACCTCTTTATCACTCAGAAAATCAATTTTAAAGCATTTGTTCTCGATTATTCACACGAAGCACGGAGTAATTGCTCTCGTTAGAGCAATTGCTCGAAGGTGGAGTAAACACTCAGGAGTGCGTAAAGCAAAGAGAATATTATTAATACCAAAACGAGAAGTTTCTCCAAACTTTGAGTAATAAGCAATTGCTCGTTTTATTAATACCACCCATTGAGTACCATCTCTGTTACAATACCCTCTGCAACGTAGTGTATTAATACTTTTAAACAGCCATAAGTTAGCGTAAACGTACTGTATTTTTATTCAACTTGTAATAGCCCTTTGTGTTGTCTTCGTCACATTTATTTAACAAAAACCTCGATTCTCATCGAACATTATTATGTTGTTTTTTTAAAAATAAATTTGACAGTAGCGAACTCTTCTTACCTTCTCCGGAGGAGTGTATTTGCTGGTAAAGGAGATGCTTCTTTTTCATATTTTGACACAAACAAAGAAACAGCGCCACGCGACAACCTCACAGCGAGTCGCGACACCTTTCACAAACAAAACACAAAATGTTACTAGGCTGCTAAGCGAAGGGTCAAGCTATTTCCAGTCTGAAAAGTAACACTGTACACACAAAACTAAATCAATGATTTCAAAACGCACAATACCGAAACAAGCTGTAAGGCGGTTACGACTGCCGAGTGCCGATTGAGCTCTGTGACATGCTGGGGGGGGATTGGAAGTGGAAGTGCGTCGGAGGCTCAGACCGCCATCTACCTACCTTCCTCCTACCTATCCTAACCTCCCAACCCTATCCTATGCCCATCCTTCATGGTTCAATACCTCCATAATAAACTATAGAAAACTTACCGTAACAGAAAACAGAGTCATCCGCTTTATCTTCCGCCCCCCTCCACTAACCCGTTTTAATAACTTAAGAGAATTACACAATATGCCACATATACTCACATACCTTCCCACAATTCCTCAGTCCAAACCATACAAAAATTCACTACGAATCCCCAATTCCAGATAATTTAATCATACCCCACCACCCATATCCTCCGTAAACCCCCCCAGGACATACACGTAAAACAACACCCCCATCAATTATCCTCGCAACATCCCCCTCCCATTAACCTAGGCCAAAGGATGGACTCAGATCAACCGACTAACGACGGAAAACCACGGACTCAAACACTGACCCACGAATGGACCAAAGAAACGACATTTACTTTCTCTCAACCTTCCTACTCTATCCCACTTACTTTCCCTAATCCTCTCCCCGCCCCTTCCCCTACTACCAAACCCCTCAATAAAAACTACCTTACAGTTCTCTCCCTCCCCGACTCCCAATCCCGTCCCTATTACGGGGAGAGGAGTCGCACCATTAAACACAACCACTGAAAGAAGATAAAACTGGACGAAAGAGTCTCGCAAGAGAGGAACAGGCGTACCATTGAACAAAACCCCAAGATCACTCCACTCACGTCCACTCACCTTATCTACGATTACCAAGAACACTCTGCATCCTTGTTGCTGGTGGGACTGTGGCACGCCAAGCCAGGGGATATTTACACGGAAAATTCTGTGGAAAAACCGGAACAATTCGTTTGTGGCCGGTTTACCCAGGATTTTTTCTTCTTGGGAACCCGGGACAGG